CCCCCCAGCTTGTCGGGGACAAGGTAAGGTGTCCCCAGCTCTGTTCACCTCAGAGAGGGTGGGTCAGCAGCAGGAGCATCACTGTAGGACCAAGCCTGGCCTCCAAGAGCAGCTCTTCCTTCTACAACCAGCACAGAAAAACATCAGATTTTTTTTTCAGGGTTTTCGGTTTGTTTGGGGTTTGGGTTTGGTTTTTTTTTTTTTGCACAGCAACTTTTATTTCCCCACTAAACAGAATGACAGGGCAAAGAGACGTAACAGCATCGCGGGATCACACAAGGGCGGGCAGGGGTTTATAAAGCACGCACGAGATCACACCTAAACCGAAGGCTTTCCCCCTTCCTTCCCCACGACACGGCCTGGGTTTCCATCGGGAGCTACCCACATCCACAAAGCCAACCCCCCCAAAAAAGTCTGTGACAACAAGCACAGCCGAGAGACTCCAGGTTTACGCACGTCCACAGCTCTTCCCTACAACTACACCCCTGCCAGTTTTTGGGTTGCCCCAAAAACATCCATCTCCCCTTTACTCCATCCCCAGGGCTGCGGGTCCCAGTGCTCGGCTCTTCTCCGGCCCTACGGATGCTCAGCCTTAACGGAGCTTGGGGAGGGGGGGAAGCGGCGAGGGAGACTGAGGAGGGGTTTTTGCTCTCTTAGCGGCAGCGAAAAAGGGGCTCGGTCCTTTCCCTAGGTGGCAAGGAAAGCGAGGATGGGGTGGGAGGGGGCAAAAGCTAAAAGGTGACCTGCAGAGCAATGGCGTCAGAAATCAGGGGCTGGGTACGGTACCTCTCCTCCTCACGCAGGTCTTCTAGCCCTCGAGAGCTTCCCGGGGTGCACAAAAGCAGGCAGGTTTGGCTACGGATGGATGCAGGATGTGATAAACCCCCTAAGGTAGCTTTTCTCCCTGGTTACAACCCTGTTTACATGGGGCAACCAACTTCAAACAAAATAAAACAAAACAAAAATATATGGGGTTGCTTATACAGCAGGCCAGAGGGGGGGAAATAACCCCACAGAGAGGCTATTTAAGCAGCCACCCTCAACGGTTGATGCCCCAGAGGAAGGTTGTCAGGGTAAAAAAGAGACCCAAAACGTTTAAAATGCAACAAGAAAAAGATAACCCCAAAGCTGAACAAGGGATAATCGTGAGTTTTGGGGTCCTTTGTCTGAAAGCAAGGGGGAAAAAAGGGGACAGGATCGGGCACTACTTGCAGGTCACCTTGGGGAGAGTTAAAGAAACTGGACGGGTCAATTGCAAAGGGAGAGCGAGGAGCCCACATAGAAGAGCCAGAAGAAAGGAAAGATTTTTTCGGTGAAAGCGGCTGTGAAGGTGAAGATGGGAGCCATGTTATCGGCGTTGTAAAACGCCACCCACCCGCCTTCGTAGTCCAGGTACACCCCGATCTTCCTGGGCCTCTCGCACAGGGACAGGGGTGTCTCCGGGGAGGTGAAAGCCTGATACTGATCCCAATTCTTCCCCTTCCAGTTCAATCCCACCGCCCAGATCCCCTCCTCTGGAGCAAAGTCGATTTTCTCCTTCCTCCGCACCGACTCACGGGCTGCCCCCAGGACCCAGCTCTCTCCATCTCCCACCTCCACCTCCCAGTAATGCCTCCCAGCTATGAAACCCTCCGCCGCCAACACGCAGAAGGAATAATCGAATCTCTTGGGGTTTGCCGGCAATTCCTGGGGAGCACTCCTGAGTCGCACGCTCCTCTTGTCCTCCGACAGCACCAGGTAGGGGTTGGCCGTGTCTGGGTCCAGAGAGAGATCACCTGGGAAGAGGGGAAATGTGGATATGAGCGTCTGCAAGTTAAGGACCCTTCTCCCACCCTCCAAGGGGATTCACCATCTCTGCCCCAAACCAGACGAGGACGACTCCAGGAGAGTCACCTCCAACAGCTTTAAGCACCCAAAGTGCAAAGAGCCGCAGCGGAACAAGGTTCAGGCTCCACTTTCTAATTAAAGCAGCGAAACAGCCAGATCTCTGCTGCAAACCCACCAGCCTGCCCCATCCGAGACACCTCCTTGCTCTGGAATAGAAATTTCTGGGCAGAAGTGACATTTTTGGGTTTGTTTGGGGTTTTAAGTCACTGCCAAGTGCTGGAGAGGAATGAGCACAAATATCCTCATGTTTAAGAGCTGCTTTTGTCCTCAGGGGACTGTCAGGAACTAGGGTTGAAAACGACTGCGAGAGGGGGACGATCAGAGGCTGCTAAAAGCAAGATGGGTCTGTCCTGCACCCAGCCAAGGAGATGGAAGCCCAGTGACGTCCCTCAACTACCAGCAACGAACGCAAAGGTTGCAAAGTCCATCTCTGAGCTAACGCAATACTCACCGGCGTGGCCAAAGGTCTCCTCACTCTGGGCAGAGCGGATCAGCTTCTGGAGAGTCCTCTTAATCCCCCAGTCTCCTAACAAATTCAAGGGCTGCACCTTTTGTGGACTCTCCCAGCAGCCGGATTAATTTTTTTCTCCCCTTCCCTTGGCAGCATCAGCAATCATTTTCTCCTCTCCTGATCTCTAAGGCTAATCTGAAGGTCCTACCACTGAGATCCTCGCTGGGGAACCTGAAATTCCCAAATTAAGCTATGTAAAAATGAAGGTCAGGCTCCCAAAAAACAAACTGTGCTCACCTGTGTCATTCTCCAGCTCAAACCGGAGGTTCTCTGTGGGAAGGAAAAAAAAAAAAATTTAGATCCCTTTCTGTCCCCAGAGACCACCTACACATACATGACCTTGCTGCCCACCTTAGGGCGAGCCACCAAACACTGCTGCTTGGGAACGAGCACGTACGGCTACGTCACACTTCTACACAGAAATCCAAGGGAAACGTGCTGGTTTTCAAGGAAACAGAGGTTTTTAATTTTTGATGAGCAGATGCTCAAACAATAAAGAGATCTCCCAACAAGCCCAAGGGTGAAATAAGAGTACAGCTCAAACCAAATCATCTTTTAAGTTGAATTTCGTCTTTTAAGTTGAATTAAACGTAGGGGTTAGGAGGCACCAACTTTTAAAGAAACTCTTTTTCACTGCTCACCCTTGAACTCCAGCAGGACTTCTTTCAGCACTGCACTCTTCTGGGAAAAACTCTTGAGTTTCTTCTCCAGCTCTGTGAAGCCAGCCTCCGGCTTGCAGAACATCCAACTCTCAAAGCTGGGGAGGAGAAATAACTATTAGGTTCCCTCGGGGGGAGGCGGGAGAAAAAAAAATCTCCAAACTAGA